CTCGGCCAGGAGTTTGACCTACATGCCGCCACTCTAGGGCCAGGGACTCCCGCAATCAACCCTTTAACGGGTCCTGCAAACACCGCTGCGTGGGGGAGGTTGCATGAAATGCTTCCCCCCCAACTTGAAGATAGACTAAAGGATACCTTGCCAAGGCCTAAAAACCACCAAAGTTGCCAGGAAGAATGGGAGCTTTTTACAAATTATCTAAAAGGACAACAAAATGAACTGGACTCCTTGGTAGGTTTTAAATAAACATTCACAAATTTATTGGTTGATAACATGATAGATAGACAAGGCAAGGATTGTTGGCTATTTACAGTTTAGTAGCGCTGCAGAGAGCTTGCTGGGGAGACCATGCATAACAAGGAACTCAAAAATAACTTTAACAAGGTTTTAATAACAAAACAAAAACTCCTTTTACACTAAAGAGAATGACAACAAACATGACCCAACTACCAACCCAACCCCCAGGGTAATGAGAGAGCTAGGTGCTGCTCCTTATATACTATGCCCAAATGCTGGCACAGCTTAATTAACACAACCTAGCAGCACTTGCTATGTTTCACAGCTGTAAGACTGGGTCTTGTTATTTGCCCTGGCCCTTAAAGACATACACAACTTGTGAAACAATAATGAACTTTCACATTTCACAGTGACCATTCAACAAGGATATGTATAATTTTATAACATGCAGAGAATAATATGTGCAGAGAAATCAGAGAGAGGAGCTGAGGGAAGTCTCTGGTGGGGGGGGAGGGATGGAAGGGGGGAGGGGGGAATTAATGTATGTGATTATATGGTTTGATAATCTGTTATATTGAAATTGCTTAATAAAAATATTTAAAAACGAAAACAAAAAAATATGCCTAAGTTGTGACAAAATGCTACGAGGAATGCAAAACCTGCCAATGCAGGGAAGATTCCTTCCCAGTTCTGAATACAGCAACCATCTTACGACCATAGCAGTGCCCGCTGACCTGGAACGCAAAACATTAGGCTGCAATAAAATATTATTAATTTGGGAGGGATGGGTGGGTGAACCTGGAAGAGGAGGGAACAAAGTGAGGTTTGGCCAAAGGGGTCGGCCTCTTTCCCTTGGCCCTCGCCCCACCCCCAGCCGGCCCAGGTGGGAGGCACCAGACCAGGTAAGCCTGCTCAGTGTCGCAAACCCCGCCCACCTGTTGGGAAGGGAGGGTGGAAATTACCTTCATTCCCTGAACTCAAGCAACTGTGCTGAACATATTGTTTTGTTTCTATTTTTACTGAGCGCTGGGGGGGAAACCCCACTTTGTCATCAGGAAATTCACATTTAGATTTTAGCCATAGGCCATTTAGGGTAATTATGCAGATAGCTTCAATAGCAGGTGACAGTAGGCTGATCATTAAATTACTGCTTGGCATATCTGAATCACTGCTTTTATGGAAAATGACAAATGTTGGCAACTTCCATTCATCTGTCTGGGCATTAGCCTGCCAATTTTTGAAGGCAGCGTCTCTGAATGGTATTAGAAAATTGAACAAGCGAATTTAC